CGTCCGATAGTTTTTTGCATTCAGGCGCTGATGAATCTCATAGCAAAGAGGGGACGGGTAGTGATGATACGGCGACGCCCGCTAAGGTGGCTATGGTGTAGGCGCTCTATGCTGTAGTATTTGATAACACATTTGCGTTTAGTTTATAACGCAATTACAAATAATTTTTGTTTTTAATTTAGTTTTTTAAAATGTATTTATATTTATGTTACAAATATAATGTAAAATTTTTGCTGTATTTTTATATTCTCCATAAAATGTACATCTCTCTAAATAAATGATCACATTATTCATTGTAATTATTAATTACTAATTAATGACAACTTATTAAGTACTTAGTGCCCTACCCCTATAAGCAAACATTTTGTAATGATGTGTGAAATCTGTACTTTTTTAAAGTGTAATATGGCGTATACTTGTTTGTGAGTCCGATTTTAACATAGGTTATTATAAAATCATAATTTATTATTAAATCAATATATCATTAATGCTAAATAATTAAAAGGGTACTCAATCAATAGGCTTACAGGATGAGGGTCTAGTAGTTGAATAGAGACAACATGTTGTGATTTAAAATGTCGATCAACTATTGTGCAGTACTTATTGATATACCCCTTAATAATAAGTCTCCGTTTCAATGAACCCGCCGGGAAGTCGTCTCATCACTAGTTTGCGTAACTCGTCGTAACAAAATAGGGCTATCGAGAAGGGAATCGATGTAAACCACCAGGACCATCTAATAGTTAGACAAACAATTATTTATAAGAATTATTACTACAAAAATTGTAATTTTAAAGAATCCTGGTCTACATGAATTGTTTAACTAGTCTCTAAAATTAGTGTTCATAAATTATAATTTGCGTACTTTAATGGGTACATGTTGAGACCCCTGTCCAGACCGGGACAGTAGGATAGGAACAGGGCCAGTGCCAACTCGAAAACCATGGCAAAAGTGAGCACATGATTCCTTATGAAAATAGCAAACAATTATGAATGTTAAATAAAAGTTGCTTTTCAAACATTTATTTTCAATTACTTCATGCCCTGTTGGAATACGGAGAGCCGTCGTGTCTTACAACATACCAGTGCCGCCCATTTTGTCAGCACCACCGACACGAAGAAAGCCGTGTGACATGAGTACTCCAGGGTCTTTCGTTGATGATAAGTCTTTATAGGTTTTAAATGAAATAAATGTGTAACTATACCCTTATATTATACTAATTGACACAATACAGACCCATTCCTGTCCATAGGAGTCGGGCAGTGCGTTGATGGCCCGGGAATCCCATTTAGCTCGTATGCCATAGAGATCCCACGGGAGGAACCCATTCTCAGTCATAATGACAATGTATGTGAAAAATCCGGCGAAGGCCTGAAAAAAGCCCATTTGGCCGTAGGATATGGACACCAGTCTATGCAATGACACAAATATTAGGTAATCAATCTATATTTGATCAGTGATTGGCCAATAATTATTGTAAAACACAATTAATAATTAATACTTTTCGGTGACCAGTCTGTCCTTCCTAGGGTTCCTGGGCTTACGTTTCATGATATCACTCTCAGGGCCCTCGTAGGCCAGGGAGATGGCGGGCACCATATCTGTGCCGAAATCGATGCACAGTATAGTAATGGCGCCCAAAGCCAGCGGTATATTGAGGCAGAAAAAGGCCACAAACGGTAACATTTCGGGCATTTTGGACGACAGTGTATAGCAAATGGACTTTTTGAGGTTATCAAAAATGACCC